GACGTTCCCTTCTGTGCAAGTGCTCTCCCCCCACCGGGCCCAGGCCGCCGCAGGAAGACGGCTCGGAGCACCGTCCTCGCGGGTCACGGGCTCCTGCCTGGCGGGGTCAGTGGGGACAGACGTCGGGCTCCACATCTTCAGCTCCTGGGTTGACAATGACCGTGGGTGGTGTCGCTCCAGAGTGCGCCTCGGCGGCCTGGGAACACGGTCCGTGTGCCCCTGCGCTCGGGGCCTGGGCCGCCCGCCTTCAGTCCCCTCTCACCGCTGCCAGGAAGCCACGTCGGGAGCCGTCAGACTCGGGTGAGCGCCGGGCATCAAAGACACGGCGCGGGTGTGGGCAGGGACCCGGCCAAGGGAAGGAAGGTGTCAGTGGTGGTGACGTCGCACCCAGCGGGGCGCAGGCGTCTGCTCCGGGGACAGCTTCTGACGCGAGCCCGAGACCCGTGGGGACGGCAGGTGCTGCCCCAGGCCCGGGGCCTCGCAGGGGCGCGCCCTGTGACTTCACACACTCCTGAGCCTCTCAAAGACAGCAGCTCCGGAGGTGGTCGCGTCTCAGTGTCCAGGGACACCACCCAAAGCGCGAGGGACCCACCCGGACTCTGCTGACTCCCGGTGGGGACGGCGCCCCCGGGGCCCGTGTCCGCGCCCTCCCTCCAAGGCCCCGCTGCCCAGGGAGGAAGCGAAGTCACTGGTCTGACAGCCGCGTGCTGAGCGCGGTCAGAGCCCCGCAGGAGGGCTGCGGGCTCCCCACTTGGCAGCCAGCGCTTCCCTGGAGAAGGCGGCGCGGGGGCCCCAGACAGCGGGACACCGGGGCTCCTTCTCCTCTGCTCCAGCGCCGAGCCCGCCCGTGAGAACTGTCTTCAGTGTCATCGCCGGTTCACCTGGAAAGCTGCTTCCAGGAACAGGCTGTCTCGCTGGCCTCCCACTGTGAGGTAACCAAGCCAAACCCTCTGGAAAGCTCGTCTGGTTTCCAGGTCCCGCGGGGCCACCTTGCTTGGTCCCCTTACGGTTTACAACTGCGCAGGCTTCAAACCAGCCGGCGGCCGAGCCCCAGGTAGGCGAGGGTCCGCCCGGCCGGCCGGGGCTCGGCAGCGGGCAGTGCGGCGGGTCCGGGCCTCCCTGCT